GGGAAATAAACTTGCACCCTGTTTATACCAAGTTCTGGAGCCTTGATAAATAAATCCACTAAGTCCAAATACATGGAGTTTTCAATTAAATTGATGGTAGAGGGATGTTTCCGTAACTAAAAATCTGCTTCCAGTGGTGTGTTTCCACAGGGCTCAGTACTGGGGCCTTGCTGATTGTGGTGTACATTAATGACTTAGACTTAAATGATACAGATCAAAAAATTCACAAATGACAAAAATTGGTGTGCTGCTAAATAGGGAGGATAGCTGTAAACTGCAGGAAGATATCAATGGGCTGCTCTACTGGGGAGTGGCAAATGGAATTCAACCCAGAAAAGGGAGAGATTTAGAAGGGATACATCTTTGGAAAATAAAGAAGATCAAAGGGACTTTGGTGCGGATATCCTGATGCTAGCAGGCCAGGTAGATGACGTAGTTAAAAAGACACATGGATACTGGCCGTCATTAGCCAAAACAAAGAATACAAAAGGTTATAGAATACAAGGTTATGCTAGATCAATATAAAACGCCGCTTGACCACAACTAGAATATGCTGTGCAGTACTGGTCACCACATTATAGGAAGGATGTGTTTGCAATAGAGACAGTGCAGAGGAGACTTACCAGGATGCTACCTGGGCTATCAGGGAACATTCAATAGGCTGGAGTAACTTTCGTTAGAGCTGTGACGGTTGAGGGATAACCTGACAGAGCTGTATAAGATTGAGAGGAATTGATAGGGTCTATAAGGCAGCACTATTTCATCAGGAGAGGGCTCAACAATTGAGGGTATAGATTTACGGAAAGAGGGAAAGGCCAAGAAGGGAGTTGACGAAAAATGATTGCACTCAAGACTGGCAATTATTTTCCGAAAGGGTGGTTGAGTCACAAACTCTGGAAATATTTAAGCAGTACTTAGATATTCACCTGTGTTGTCTTAGCTTCCAGACCTTTGGGCCAAGAGCTGGATAATAGGATTAATGCAGTCATCTCTTTGTTGATTGGTACAGAAACAATGGACTGAATGGTCTCTTTCTCTGCTGTAAATATCTACGATATGTTTAAGAAGATCTACAAAAGGGGAGGCGAAAATAATCTTTTCTTTGTGTTTTATGATGTGGAATGCACTCCCAAAAAATGGGGGCGGGGGGGGTGCGGGTTATGGCCCTGAAAACACAAATGCAATGGAAAGATAGAGTACCTCATCATCATTGGAAGTCTGAAGATGCTGAATTGAAGCATGTGTAAGGGAACAGATGTATCTCCAGATGCAACAGCCTCTCGCCCAGCCCACCACTGAAAGTGTCTTCATTATCTCACTCATCACAGCAAGATAGAGATGACATCTGTCAAGGTCCAAAACCTCGAATGAAGGAGAAACAGTGGATTTAGAATAATAGAGAGAAGAGAAAAAAAAAAAAAAAAAAAAAAAAACTTAGCTTCATGTATACTTGTTCAGCAGCTCATTGCTTAGAACAACGAGACAATAATTATACCTAAACTTTCTCTGCTCCTAGTTTAAAAAAATAATCTTCAGACAGGGTGTACTTTGATGAATTTCCTTGTTCACAATTCTTAACAGCAGCTCGTTAAACACATGCTTACAATTTCACTACAAAATTGCTCACAGAAGAATTACCTCTAGTCTACAACAACTGCAAACCTCTTGCACCGACCCCCGCCAAGTACCATTGCCAAGAAAACACAAGAAATAAAATATTATTTAAACCAAAATGTCTGTCTTTGGTTGAGAAATTGGCATCTGGTAAGTTTTTTGGAAGCATACTGTCATTATATGATATTCAAAGTGGAGGTAGTATCAGAGGGCATCTGTTTTACAAAATATGGCTGCAAATGTCAAAATGCAGCAACAGGTTCTGAAAATGTAGGACAGTTTGTCAGTGTTTATTAGTTATTTCAGGTAAGATATTTTTGTAACTTTGAAACAGACATACTTGATGTCACAAAATATTTTCAGCAACTTGATTAGAAGTATTTTGAGACATGATCAGAGGTTTAAGAAGCAGAGACACTCAACATCAGTTTCTCTAGCCTAGAAATTAGTTGGTTTTGTTTTCACAGGGGAAATAAACTTGCACCCTGTTTATACCAAGTTCTGGAGCCTTGATGATTAAATCCATTAAGTCCAAATACATGGAGTTTTCAACTAAATTGTTGATCCACAAAGACAGACTTGATGAGGAATAATATTTTATCATTATGAATTGAACATTTTTCTTTAAATTATTTAATAGGCAAATGAAATATACACTGATGTACATTTTTATTTTCACAATCTACTGCAAAAGTCCTTTATAGAGCCATCCAATTTTTAAAAATTCACTAATGGGATGCAGGCTTCTCTGGCTCGGCCAGTATTTATTGCCCATCCCTAGTTGTCTTCAAGAAGGTGGCAGCGAGTTGTCTAAATTTTATTCTAGAATTTTGTTGCATTGAAAGACTATTTAATTTAGTTTAGCGTTCATAAGAATCGCAGTCCTTTTAGCCCCTTAAGTCTTTCAGTCAAATTACAGGTGACTTTGGAAATTTTTAATGATCTTGATCAATGATCCTGATCCACACCAATGAAACCCATAGTTATAATTCAGCCCTTTAGAGGGTTGCACTGTACACCCTCCAACTTTTGCCGAGGTTGAAATGGTCAAATCAGAAATGAGTGTCAGCTTTGGCTCAGTTGAGAATATTCCCCTCTCTGTGACAAAACGTTTAAAGTTCAAGCCCCATCTCCAGCAAGTGAGTGCAAAATGTGGGCTGGAACGATGAGGAAGTTGGGGGTGTCTACGCTCGACTGAAACGTCAAACTGAGGCTGACCCCACGGACAGATGGAAATGATACTTCTACATCATTTTGAAAGGGGAGTGGGGAGTTTTCCTTCAATGCCCTGCCTAGTTATTACCACTTAACCACCTCCTAAAAGATTGTTATCTGACAAGGGGGCTGTAGAGGCAAGACAAAGGCTAGGACTGGGAGTAGGAGAAAGGCCTGCACCAGGAGTGGGAGAAGGGATGCCCTGTATCAGAATACAGGGAGTACATGCACCGGGAGCACATGAAGGGGGTGCCCTGCTTCAGGTCACGAAGAGGCAGCTTCTATTTGTCCATTTTGTGCATTAATTTTTGCATCAAAAAAATTCAAAAGGTCTAAAGAACTTCTCTTCCTGAAGCACTAACTTGGAGACTGGCTGCTGCTTGCTGCTATTTACCAATTACATCAGTTTTCTTTTCGTACGTTCAAAATTTGCAGCACCTAAAGGCAGTGTTTATACTAATAACAGCTTGGAAAATTATGAACAGTATTCTGCAATCTCCACGTACGGTTTTAAGTTCACTTGTTAACCTCCTAAGTGTGTACTCCAAGACTTGTTCCACTGAAGACATGAGGCACTCTCGTAGTACATTCAGTACCCGGTCTATAAGCAAAGATAACAGAGGACTTACATCAGTAATGCACTGGATGCAAGTTTTCTATAATTTTCTATTGGCCTAGTAACAACAAAACAAATAATTTTTTTTTTAAAAAAGGATTGATAATTGACAATAGGTTCACCTAATTGCTTAGCAAACTTTATTCAGAAAAATAAGCACTGTCAACCTCATTTTGCAGAATGTTTGAAAGCAACAAATTAGCATCAGACCCAGAAAGGCAATGACAGAGGCAGATCTTCAAGTCATTAGCCCAGGCCTATTGAATACACTTTGCAGTTTCTAAAATAGGGACACTGTTACTGCATTGCAGAAATTAAATTTAAAAAAAGTTTATTCCCCTGAAGTGGGGAAAGGAACCAATGATGGTCGTGGGTTGATTAGCAGTGTAAGATTATACCAACACTTTGTGGCAAAAGAGGATCTTACATCTTGAAAGCAAACACAGATTAACACATTTTAAATAAATATATCTAGAAGCACTAGAATACCAGATTAACCGACGTTCAGTTAAAAAATGGCTTATAAAAATAAGTGGAAGTTCAGTGAACTCATAGCCTATTGATTCCCATAAAAATCAAGAGAGATAAATCATTACAGCATTCTTTGAAGTGCACTTCGCCTGCAAGAATGTAGGTTCCCATTGGTTTCTCGATTCCTTACTGATCACAGTGCCAGCAGGGACCAATCCAACCAGACAGTTACAATCCGCAAACATTGAAAAGTTATGTGAAAGGTATGGTGTAAATGCAATTATTTGCTTACACCACACAGAAAAGTAGCTATTTGATTTTCGCACCATTGTTGTATACCTAAATTGAAATAGTTTAGAAACTAAAACGGAAAACATTTGAACATTTAATTCAACAACTCAACTCTACTTAACAATTATGCAGTTAACAAACAGATTAAAAAGTTTACAAAATAAAATGCTAACGATTGACCTTCTTCCCCTCACATATTAACGTTAGCAGCAACAGCAAGAAGAAATACTAGTTAACACCAACAATTATGTACGGTCACTGTGCTGTTCCTCACACCTGCAAAGATGAATAGTTATAATATGGACAAGTTAATCTAGTCTCTTCTCATCACTCATATATAAAGTCTTAGTGAGACTACTATCACGATACTGCAAATTTTATTTTACAAATGGTTTTGCTCATAAGTCCACTATGCAAGAGATGGCCAACCACTCATGTAGATTTAATCAAAATAAATGCTTCTAATTACTGAAACATAAACTTACATTAAAATGGCTTATGCATGATTTGTTATTTGGCTTGTAGAAACAAGTGTTTCATGTGACCTGCAAAAAAAATTCTGAAAAGAAACCCAGCTATTGACTTACTTTTAGAAAAAGCCATTTACAGTTCCGTCTTGTTTCTGTAGCTCTTTCAGAATGCCAACATTGTTTTCCCCTGATCTTTTAAGCATTTTTTGACCATTTCTTTGTTCTCTTTCACTAGCCCCAATGTAATAATTTTATTAATCACTTTGAAACCTTTTTAATCATTTGTGGTGCATTTATGACTGTTTCCTTACAGCGCCATAGCTGGCTGATTGGCTTTTATCAATAATGTTTTTATTCTTTTTTATAGCTACTTACTCATTTCTATGTAATCATTCACTATCTTTTAACATTACTCTTCAAGCCCTTGGTTATCATACCCCATAAATGTTGCTCATATTAGCGAATAAAAGACTTTGACAACATCAATATATCCATTCAATGGATTGACAAAATATAGTGACACATTTTGTTCTGACTCTGCTCTCCAAAAAGTGAAACCATCTTTAGGTTTCAACACAATGTGAAGATCTGGAATTAAACAGTCACTGAAACTTGTGGTCTTATATGTGCCGTTTTTTTTCCTTCTGCGGCACATCAGATCCAAGGCTGCTGTTTGGAGAAGCGATAAGAGAAAATGCTGGAGAAACTCAGTAGGTTTGGCTGCAACTGTAGAGAGAAAAACAGAGTTAATGTTTTGAGTCAGAACTGAAGAGCCATATTGGACTCAAAGTGTTAAATGTGTTTCTCTCCCCACAGATGCTGCCAGATGTGCTGAGTTCTGTTCCAGCATTTTGTCTTTATTTGAGAGTTCCAGCATCCACAATATTTTGCTACAATTTGGAGACCTGTGTATTTGAGCATAGGAAAGAATAACAAATATAATAGAAAGGTGTCAGCATAAAGCTACTAGGGTGTTAGCAGAGATGGCGGGTCACAGGTATGAAGACTGGAATTACTTTAGGGCCTCCTGGCGGGAGGAGGTGTAAAATGTTTTCATATTTACTACCATGCTTCCTCTCGAAACAGGGAAAAGCTTATTGACATCTGTTGAGATTTGAGAAGGAATTTTTAAACTTGTTAGCTTTGCATCAATATCATTTTTTTGAATTGAGCTGACTTCTTAAATTATGCATTTTGTAAAAATTCAACCCTTGGAGTATTCACAAAGTTATGAAGTGATGTCCTAGCATATTTTTGTAATACAAGGTATTTCTAAGTTCCTGACAGCTGTGATTATTTCATTGCTTTGAGTTTTGATTAATTTGCTTGTCATTGCAGATTTTGCAATTTGTTAAGGGGTTACGATTGGCTAAAATTTTGACTTCAAACATTCTGTGATTGTTCCAAAATTGCAGTGTAATTTCAAATGTTACACTTCTTCTGCTATGCTTATTAACGTCATGAAGTTAATATCATTGTACTATTGTCAATCAATAACCCAGCATCCTTGCTTGCATGAACTATCCAGCAGATGAACAAATTAGCAATGTTTGTCATACCTTGAACAAATCTTGAGATTTGAAATGTTAATAAGATTTCAAAGGTTAGATTACAGAGAGACCATTTTCTCTGACAGGGAAATCTAGACCAAAAGGCCTAATTTTAAAATGCTATACACCCATAGAAAATATAATTGATGCTAGGTCAATCAAATTTTTAAGACCAATACTGCTAGATTTTCATTAAGTACATGTACCAAAAGGATACAGCCAAAAATATCTGAACGTCGAGATGCTACTGGTGCTCCTAATTTAGTGAAATGGATGATTTTTCTCTTTGATGCGTACATGAAGGAATATGGCATACTATGACCCTCCGTTGGAGTGGTTTGCCAAACATTCTGTGATAAATTAGAAATTATTTTAGAAGACTTGCAGCACAGTTTCCATCTGTCACAAATGAGAAACTTGACAGGCTGGCATCCAAAAAGTTTAGCAACACTAGCAATGTTAATTTGTTACAGATCAAAAATCTGTAACACAGAGCCAGGATATATTTAAAAAGTGCATTGGGTTCACTGCTGGCAAGTACACTTACATACATTGCCATGATGTAAATTTTGTTGACACAAATTACGTTACTTGCTCTTGGTTTCACGATAATCCCACTTTTCAGTCTCACGTAGTTTGCTAAAAACACTTTTCTGAAAGCATGGTCTTTTATGGTAAATAATAAAGAGCCAAAGAATTGCAGAAGCTGTAAATCAGAAACTAAAACAGAAATTGCTGGAAAAACTCAGTAGTTCTGACAGCAGCTGTGAAGAGAAAGCAGAATTGATGTTTCAGGTCTTGTGACCCTTCATCAGAACTGATCGTAGCTATGAAAACATTAGAGAGATAGAACATTGGTTGGACGGACAAAGGAATGGGTAAAGGTCAGCCTGGGAGAATTACGTGCTGCTAATGGGAACTATTAGTAGCAGAAAATGGGTTGGCTGCTGTAGCAGTTCATGTGACAACAAAGTTGGGTGTGGGAGAGTTGGGGTAAGGACATGGTAGAAGGTGCTCAGGATCTAAAATTATTGAACTCAATATGGAGTCCTGAAGGTTGCAGGGACCCCAAGCAGAAAATGAGATGCACTTTTTCCAGCTTGCACGGAGCTTCGCTAGAGCTGCAGCAAGCCTGAGACAGAGATGTTGGCCAGGGAACACAGTGATGTGTTGAAGTGACAGACAACAGGATGCTCAGGGTCATTTTGCACAAAATGTGCGCACATTCTTCCTCTCTCCAGGGTCTGTTTCCATGCTGTATGACTCTATGACTCCAAATACAAGGCCCTATAGATTAATATGTAGGTTGCCAGTATGTGCAAGTGCGCCACATTGCAAGCCTGACTGATAATCCAAAATTGGTTGTGTTTGTACACTTGGGATTATTCATTGAATGCTATCCAATCACAGAACCATATCTAATGTTGGAAAGTGTGTTTACATTTAGAGATATACAGACTGGCTGCATACTATGAGTGGCTTGCTTTTTGCTAACAGCCAAAAGGATATGTTATGGGAAACCATATATCTTTGGGATACATGGTCTACATACTGAACATCACACTAATAATGAAACTCAAATATCACATTAATCACTTGTATGATATACAGAATTTCTTGGCTTGATGGCTGTATCTTGTTTGCGATGAACATCACTCATGTTGCTACCACACAACTGCAGCATGAAACAGCTAACTTTACCTACTGTTCAAATTTTTGAGATACCACCCCTTTCCAAGGTAATCCGAGATATACTGAGCTCTTTTCAGGATCAATAGTGGCAGCCTTCGTCTATTCATGAGTTTGGGCAATATAATGTGAGTTTAATCATGTGATTAGGATATACACTTGTAATTTTTTTAAAAAATTGTTCACGGGTTGTGAACATCTCTGGCTACGTCAGCATTTATTGCCTATATCTAACTGCCCAGAGAGTAGTTACGAGTCAACAACATTATGGATCTGGAATCACATGTATGCCAGAGAAGCAAAGTATAACAGATTTCCTTCTTTAAAAGATATTAACGAACCAGATGAGTTTTTCCAACAATTGACAATGATTACCTGGTTGCTCATTGCAGTAGCTTTTTATTCCAGAGTTTTTTTTAAATTAAATTCAAATTTCACTATCTGCCATGATGGGTTTCTAACCCACACTCCAGAACATTAGCCAAAGGTTGTGGATTACAAGTCTAGTGACATTACCACTATGCCATTGCATCCCATTATTTAGTATATTTGAATCTGTAGCTGCATGCAAGAATTGCCTTGTATATTTTAGTGGGTTCCATCCTGCATTCAAATATACTTTTGAAATGAGCAGTCAAATAAGTTCCCTTTCTTTGATGCGTTTGTTGAGAAATCTGTCAGAGGGTTCTAGAAGACCGTCTGCTGCAAGTGTTTTTCAATGGTTCATACACATGAGATTCCTACAGTTCCACGCACTACAAGATTGGTCTGATCAGCAATCATATAAATAAACCCTTAGCCATTTACTCATTTTGTATACTTGAGGCTGAAATCGGGTCCATCTGAACTTATTGCAAAACAATGGCGACACTGATCAGACCAGAGGCTTGGAAGTTACTGCCTGCTCACTAAAACTGGCAGATTACATTGAACAGCATATCACTTTGGATGTTTGCAACAAGGTACTCACCATAGTCATCCAGCATTGTAGAATTCTAAATAGGGCCAAACATTAAATGTCATTCAATGATTCTAACAGGACCAGACAGGATTAACACAGGAAGGATGCGCCCAATAACCAGGGAGTCCAGAACCAGAGATCTATCTCAGGATACAGGTAGGCCAATAAGGAAAGAGAGAAGGAGAAATTTCTTCACCCAGAACGTGGTGAGCCTGTGGAATTCTCTGCCACAGAAAGCAGCTGAGGCCAAAACATTGAATATTTTCAATGAGTTAGATATAGTTCTTAGGGATAACGAGATCAAAAGGTATAAAGGGACAGGCTACTGAGTTGGATGATTAGCCACGATCATATTGAATGGCAGAGCAGGCTTGAAGGGCCAGATGGCATACTCCTCCTATGTTTCTACATTCGGGCAATATTTGCTAAATAATCCCAAGTATGCTAAAAATTACACTGACAACCAATTTAAAGATTGTTTGTCAGGCTCACAGTGTGATGCACCTATGCATGCTGCAAGCTATATACATTGTTTGCATGATGCTGCTCCTTACAGACAGAACGAACATGTACACACATTGCGCCTTTTTCAACTTAACAAAATAGGTTAGGCTCTGGATGATTCCTCAAGGCAATGCCTTTACCAGAGTCAAACTGCCCGGTTTAAATCTAAACAAAGCTTGGTGGTTAAATGTCACTCATCATCTAACTGATGTATTCTCCACGGCAATGCCTCCTCCAACCAGAGCTGAACTGCCAATGATCAGCACCCTCGGCTCATACAGTATAAAAATTGTATTCCTCTCTACATCGATGAATTTCCTGATGAGTGCAAGCCTTGACAAACTGTCTTATTTCAGTGATATTGATGTTCAAATCTATTGGGCAATGAAAGGGATGGGAACTGGAGGGCTGAAAGACAAAAAAAACTAAATAAAATACTACATACTAAAATAAGTTACATAATACATTCTCATTTAAACTTTGACAAAAATTCGTTGGACTGCATTCATAAATGAGAAGTCGCCACATTAAAGCACATTTTCACATCTGAAGAACGCTCACTCTTCAGCACTGCAAGCAGTAAAATATTAACAGCTGTATTTTATACAAATTTTGCAATTCAAATGGCCTAAGTTCAAAAGGAGCTTCTGAGCAGATTTCCTGTATTATGTAACTTTCTACATCTCAATTCTTACAAAAAAATAAGATTGGATAGCACAGTACCTTGAATTATCATAATCTCTTGTTCATGCAGGAAACAGCTAATGGCCCCATTACAATTTAGCCACTAACAGCTCAAATATAGAAACCCAACAATTATAGTTTCTTAAAATAGAAAGCATTACAATTATCCTTTCCTGCTTCATTATTACTTTGACTTCTCTTTAAGTCCCAAAGAACAGACTTCCTAACTTTGAAAAATTGATATCCAGTGACAAAAGTGAAAACATAATATGGCTGAGGAATTCAATATGATTCCATTTCCTCCTGTCGGCACATTTTAAGGGAAGGAGTGGATGTTCAATATTATTAAAATCAACTTGTGAATCTTAATAGCACAGCCCAGTCCCAGAGGACATGTTGGGTCTGAACACCGTAGAAGAAAATCTATTAGAAGGCTGGGAAATTTGTGAATTAGTTATGGAGGCAGGACATGACTGGCCATCTTCGTATCATCTTGTCATTCCACGTTTTGTAGCAAAAATCTCAACCAAGTGGAGAAAGGGTCAAAGACCCTGGGCAATCTTCAGTGCAGTGCATAGTACTGGATGCTTTGTCTTTCCATGAACACACAACATTCCATGCCAACTCTCGTAATGCGAGTCTAAGTAAACAGTAGGAATAAGGAGACTGTCAAACACAATCTGACTGAAGCTTCATCTCCACTTCTGTGCAGTGGCTCTGACATCATCAGAACTGACCAGTCAAGTGTAACTTCAAAGTCCAGACTACTGGAAAGGCCCCAGATTTGATCATTATTTAACAAAGAGCTTCTGACCTTAACTAGTATGGTTGGAGCATAGCTAGAACCATACCTTGAGTAAAGGCAGACAAAACGAAATCAGCCAGAATTTCTGCTCTTGCTCACCAATTGTTGCTGCCTGATGGAAACAACTGGTAGATGGCAGATAAGAAATGAAAAGGCTCTTATGTGAATAAAGGTCATCAGGCAAAGTGGGTAGCGGTATCCCAAAGCTATCCAACAAGACAGTAAAACATTCAGCACAGGGGAGAGAGAGAGAGACAAAAAACAAAAAAAAAATAACACAGAATGCACATTATTCGAAGCCTTCAGAAACTTTAAGCCTGCTAACAGAGATTAATATCTTAAGGGGTTAACCAACCTTCTGGTCTTCTGTGGTGTTTTGGGACAGACATCTCCGACAGCTTGAATAACAGCTGCAGGCTCTTGTCTGCTTTCAGCACAGGTAAATAAGCACGAGTAGTCAGCTTCTTTAAAGCATCTAGAAGGGGATGCAAGAAACAAACCAACGCCTTCCGATCCCTTCCATTAAATAAAAGGAAAAGCAAGGGTCATTAAGAGAGAAAATACATGGGAAATTGTGTTTCCAACAGTTTTGATACCTTCAAGGGCAGAACTTCAAAAAGTCAAACATTTTACTCTAGCCTCTTATCCATCTTCTGCATTAATCATGCAACAGCAAACGTTGCATGATATTTATAATCCAAGTCACATGAGTAAGAACTTTTTTTTTTGCTTTATGTTTTATGTTATGGCACCTTTTCATTCTTTGACACCCTTCATAGTCCCAGACTACTGCAGATAAATAGCACTGCCGAATGCTGACCTGCACACGCTCAACAAGTAAAGCTAGTGTAACCAGGCTGTGATAGCGATTAATTAATTTGGTCTACTGCCCATTCCCAATTCACTACAACTTCTCTAAACTGCGACTCTCCTAAATCATGTCTGTGTGCCCTCTTGCTGATACCTATTAATCCATCATGAATAACATAACTCCTTACTGGTTAAATTTGGTGGGTGAGCACAAAACAAGGGGCACAAATAGATTTAGATTCTTCAGAGGTGATGCTTAGAAGCACTTCGCATATAAACAGTAATCCAAATCTGGAACACCCTTCCCAAAAACCTGTTCAGTACAAGAATTAATTGTAAATTTTAAAACTTTACACCTGGAGGTTTGGTAAAGTTATTATGGTATATGGAGCAGAGACATATATCAGCAATGATCTAATTGCCAGCACGGTGGCTCAGTGGTTAGCAATGCTGCCTCACAGCACCAGGAACACTGGTTCAATTCCACCCTCGGGCGACTGTTTGTGTGGAGTTTGCACATTCTCTCTGTATCTGCACGGGTTTCCACCAGGTGCTCCGGTTTCCTCCCACAGTCCAAAGATGTGCAGGCAAGTGGATTGGCCATGCTAAATTGTTCAGAGATGTATAGATTAGGTGGGTTATAGGGGAATGGGTCTGGATGGGATGCATTGAGGGTCAGTGTGGACTTGTTGGGCCGAAGGGCCTGTTTCCACATTGTAGGGATTCTATGAATGGTGGAGCAGGCCTCTTCCCATCTTCAAGTTCCAAAGTAATCAACTACTTTTTCTTTCCTTGAAGATTCTAACCTGAACTGGCAATTTTTTCCACTAATGTCTCCTTTGAGCTCTCTCTGCAATTTAAAAATTCAGTTTTTGTGTTGTCTTATGTATTATCTGATGTTAAACCACAATGATTATGAAGCTTAGCATGGTCTTGGTCTGAGCTGGGCACTAGTACAGTGGGACAGATAAGAGGAGAAATGAAACACAATGCAGATGCAATCTAAGGAGTGGTATACAGATTGTTGGAATTTAAAGCAGTAGGCCCTTTAAGCTAATACTATTCAAAATTTATTATACATCTCTTGTGCAATACTCAGATCAGTTTGAATTTCTCCTGCCACCCCATCCCCCGACTCCCACCCCATTCTTCCAGCAATGAAAACCGAAATTCAGAATGACAAAAATCTGCTATTATGCTGCAGGTTGTCTTTCACTGCTCAAATTTGACAGAATGAAAAAAATCCAACATTGTACTGATTCAGAATAATCGCTGACTGGCATTAATACTACAGCTTCACTGAAGTTCATGAAAGATGACCCACAAACAGACCAAACAATACCAGCAAAAATATGCAGAAAGGTTGTTTTCAATTTATGCTTTGGATTACTAGATATTCGTTGAGAATAATAGAATCTACCCTTGAGTGTTGTACTGTCCTTCGATGTCAGCAGCTAGGAGAATCATCCTGGCAACAAGCTGGGCCTCAAAACAATCTGGCATTAAACTGGCATTTTCTCCTAGTTATGAAGAAAGCACATAAATGCATGTTAGATGTAATACATATTGCATGAAACAGACTTGCAGCATCCAGGTTGGTTAGTCAATAAGACTATTTTCAAACAAATGATCCAGGTGGCTCACAGAATCTTAGATGATCCTCCCTCACCCTTCAATGCTGTTCAGTGCCAATTTACTACTTTTTGTCGGAGTTGCATGAGGGAAATGGCCAGACTACATCAGGTCAAGAAACATTGTACAAATGCAGATCTTCAAACTCTACAGATTGCAACTTATGCAAGATGTTAAGCGTGTACTAGAAAATTTTGTTATTCAGTATGTGGAGGTACGTGCTGGAGAACGGATAAAACTTGACCGACTTTTGGGAAATAAGGCAGGGCAGGTGGTTGAGGTGTCAGTAGAGGGGCACTTGGGGCCAATGATCATAATTCTACTAGTTTCAAAATAGTGACAGAAAAGGATAGACCGGATCTAAAAGTTAAATTTCTAAATTGAAGGAAGGCCAATTTAGACTATATTAGGCAAGGCCTTTCAAAAGTTGACTGGGAACAGATATTTGCAGGGAAGAGACAACTGGAAACTGGGAAGCCTTCAAAAATGAAATAATGAAAGTCCAGAAACAGTACGTTCCTGTTAGGGTGAAGGGCAAAGCTGGTAGGTGTAGGGAATGCTGGATGGACTAGAGAAATTGAGATTTTGGTCAAGAAAGAAAGGAAGCATATGTCAGGTATAGACAGCAGGGATCAAGTAAATCCCCAGAAGAATATAAAGGCAGCAGAAGTATACTTAAGAGGGAAATCAGGAGGGCAAAAAGGGGTCATGATATAGCTTCGGCAAATATGGTTAAGGAAATCCAAAGGAATTCTACAAATACATTAAGGACAAAAGGGCAACTAGGGAGAGAAGGGGGCCCTTAAAGATCAGCAAGGCCACCTATGTGTGGAACTGCAGGAGAAGGGGAGATAGTAAACAACTATTTTGCAGTGTTTACTGTCTAGATGGACATGGAAGCTAGACAACTTGGGCAAATAAATAGCGACATCTTGGAAAATGTCTATATTATAGAGGTAGAGGTGCTGGATGTCTTAAAACACATAAAGGTAGATAAATCCCCAGGACCTGATCAAGTGTACCCTAGAACTCTGTGGGAAGCTAGGGAAGTGATTGCTGGGCCCCTTGCTGAGATATTTGTATCATCAATAGCCACAGACAAGATGTCGGAAGACTGGAGGTTGGCTAACGTGGTGCCACTATTTAAGAAAGGTGGTAAGGAAAAGCCAGGAAACTACAGACCAATGAGCCTGACATCGGAGGTGGGCAAGTTGTTGGAGAGAATCCTGAGGGACAGGATTTACACGTTTTTGGAAAGGCAGGGACTGATTACGATAGTCAACATAGCTTTGTGGGTGGGAAACCATGTCTCACTAACTTGATTAAATTTTTCAAGAAGTAATGAAAAGGACTGAGAGTGGTGGACATGATCTATATGGACTTCAGTAAGGTGTTCGACAAGGTTCCGCCTGATAGACTGGTTAGCAAGGTTAGATCAAGTGGAATACAGGGAAAAATAGCCATTTGGATACAGAACTGGATCAAAGGTAGGAGACAAAGGGTGGCGGTGGAGGGTTGCTTTTCAGACTGGAGGCCTGTGACCAGCGGAATGCCACAAAGATCAGTGTTGGGTCCATTGTTTATTGTCATTTATAATCAATGATTTGGATGCGAACATAGGAGTGATGGTTATTAAGTTTGCAGATGACACCAAAATTAGAGGTGCAGTGGACAGCCAAGAAGGTTACCTCTGAGTACAACAGGATCTTGATCAGATGGGCTGATGGGCCGAGGAGTGACAGATGGAGATTAATTTAGATAAACATGAGGTACCGTATTTTGCCAAGTCAAATCAGGGCAGGGCTTATACACTTAATAGTAAGGCACTGAGGAGTGTTGCCGAACAAAGAGACCTTGGAGTGCAGATTTATAGTTCCTTGAAAGTGCAGTCGCAGGTAGACAGGATAGTGAAGGCGGCATTTGATATGCTTGCCTTTATTGGTCAGTGCGTTGAGTATAGAGTTGGGAGGTCATGTTGTGGCTGTACAGGATATTGGTTAGGCCACTTTTGGAATACTGCATTCAATTCTGGTCTCCCTGCCTATAGGAAGGATGGTGTGAAACTTGAAAGGGATCAGAAAAGATTTGCAAAGATGTTGCCAGGGTTTGAGCTATAGAGAGAGGCTGAATAGGCTGGGACTATTTTCCCTGGAGCTTGGAGGCTGAGGGGTGACCTTATAGAAGTTTATAAAATCACGAGGGGCATAGATAAATAGCCAACGTCTTTCCCCCAGGGTAGTGGAGTCTAAAACAAGAGGGCATAGGTTTAAGGCGAGAGTGGAAAGATTTAAAAAGGGACCTAAGGGCCAACTTTTTCATGCAGCATGGCATGTATATGGAATGAGCTGCCACAGGAAGTGGTGGTACAATTACAACATTTAAAAGGCATCTGGATGGGTGTATAAATAGGAAGGGGTTGGAGGGATATGGGCCAAATGCTGGCAAATGGGACTACATTAAATTTAGGATATCTGTTCGGTATGGATGAGTTGTACAGCTCTATGACTCTAAGTTGCATATATAAGCCAAGTCTCCCCCAAGTCAAAAGAGGGAACAAAGGCTTACAATTTAAGTCAATGCTGGGAACCACTCAACATTTCACGTTTGTTTTGATAAAACAAACTGAAACATGTAGGTCTAGGGCCCGGAAGTATTGAGTATCAGAACTAACAGTCCACAACATGATTGCTCAGTTATACCAGTAACAGCATTACATGCCCCAATGTTTATCACTGATTTCTCAGACAGAATGAAAAACACTGACTGGTAAAATAAAAGGCAAAACAAATTGGAAGAAACTGAAAGACTCAAGGCTCTGATAGTGCAAATATGGTCTTTTGTGAGCTTCTGAAAACAATCTTCTGCACTTCTAGAATCATACAAACACAAAAAGGAGCCAGTTGTTAGATTTAATCTATGTTGTATAGTTGATAAACAATTTCCAAATTAATTGAATGCCTTGGTTTCTCTGCATGGCTTATATCATCATCTATTTCAAACACTTCTGAATTTTTCCCTCAACAGGCACAATAGTCTCAGCCTCCCCATGATTTAATATTCACACTACTGCACTAAAAATGAACATCATTTTCAATTTTGGCTGATACACCCTTGCTATTTCAGGTCATCATTAGCTCTCAGTCATGCATCAGGCTTTGACACTCTTCTCTCCTCTTGCTCCCTCCCTCCCTCCCCTATTAAGAAAGAGCTTTTGCAGTTTTTTGATGCCAACTTTTTCACCCTCTTGACATCCCAAATTCAGGTCTCTAGGACATCTATTGTTGCTGTTGAAAGTATCGCCATTACAAAGTATCGTTTAACGAATTTAGTTGAGTGGGCAGTATCTCCATTACTCCAAATATTCTCCCACATATTCAATAGATGCAATCTGTACAATTTTAACTTATTGGATCAAGAAGTATCTGGTGAATTAACTGAAGTTGCAATTTCAGACCAGACGTGATTTGTAAGCAGCAGTTCTACAGAAGTTTGCTAATGGTTAGTTGCATACTTTTATATGTAGTATTGTTCCAAGTCAGTGCAAAATTTATTGAGTACCAGTTAGGAAACCTAATAATCAGCAACATCTTAGAATACTCCAATAACAAAGTTCTAACATGGTAAAAATGTAAATTTATAATCAAGAATTATTTTACATTTTTAAAAATAGTACAGAATCTATCTATCTATTGAATATGAGCAGGAATATTTGGAGTAAATGGAGATACTGCGAACTCAGCCAAATTCATTAAGTTTTCATCTTGTAAAGAGGACTGGATTAAGATAAAGAAAAAAGTGACAATGGTGCTCTTTTGAGACATTAGTTCTGAACCATTATGGGGGCTTTACTCCAAATCTGACTCATGCTACGTCTCTTCTGGGAATGCTTAACACTGACATTAAGTGCCCAAAATAGAAAAATGTTCTACTTTTCAACTTTGCCATTGCCTACACAGTTGAGGGAGAGAAAAATCAGAACACACAAAATACTGCTGTCTAATGATGCACATGGCAAGTTTGGAAAGTTATAAATTATGTAAAAGCAGAATCTCTACAGTAACAACTGCCTTATGCTGAAACAAATTTTCTTTAATACTTTATACGGCTGTGCAGTGTCTGGCCTCTAACTTTGCTCTATATCATAGATGACAATGAGGATGAGGTCAAAGTAGAATACAGAAATATGACTAGTCAGCACCCTATCTCAGAAATGTGTTTTGCCTGCTCAATCAGCCCATACTTGCAAGTTTCAGAAAAGTATATCCACCATTAGATGCGATTCTGCTGTTGGAAATCATTTATTTAATAATCTGGACTGTCCTAAGAGTTACACTAGAAGCCAATTTAAGATCATCACCTGGGCTCTCAGTAGAATTTGTACATACACTACACCTTTCTTTAAAAAAGTGCCCATGGTGACTGCCAAACTCTATGACATCCCCATGGCAACTTCCTGACCAGTCATTATTTATACCATAAGACATAAAAGCAGAAGTAGGCCATTCAGCCCATCGAGTCTGCTCTGTCATTCAATCACACCAGCTATGTTTCTCAACCCCATTCTCCTGCCTTCTCCCTGTAATCCCTTACTAACCAAGAACCTAATCTATCTGTCTCAAATACACTAAATGACTTGGCCTCCATAGTCCTCTGAAGCAATGGGTCCCCCAGATTAACCACCCTCTGGCTGAAGAAATTCCTCCTCATCTCAAGTATTCTTTAAGTTTCAATCAGATACCTTCCTTCTCAACTCCATTAAGTCCAGATCCAAATTCTGAAACCAGGCAGGTAAATTAAGATTGACAGATAAATGTCTTTGCTGCATCTCCATTCCAATTATGGCTCAGCCAAACACATTCTCTTCTCATGTGCTATAAAATGGTGATTCTTTCCCTAAGTGTTTCAGGCGACCTAGTTTTGATGAATACAAGATGAAAGCTTCAACTACGTGCCTCCTTTTAGTATTTTGTTTTATTTGTTCATGGTCTCTAATTATCACTAATTGTCCTAGAGGTGGTGATGGAGAGCTTCTTTCTTGAACCACTGTATTTTCTCCAGTTGTAGGGACACCCATAGTGTTATTAGAAAGGGAGCTCCAAGGTTTTGACTCTGTAAAGGAATACTGATATAGCTCCAGATCAGGATATTCTGAAGCTTGAAAGAAAAACTTGCAGATGGTGATATTGCCAGACATCTGCTGCCCTTGTCCCTCCAAACAGTAGAGGTCATATGCCTGAAAGACACTGTGAAAGAGCCTTGGTTATGTTACTGCATTGCATTTTATAGATGAAACATGTGACTGTCACTGAGGCAGGAAGTGATGTTTAAACTGTTGAATGGGGTGCCAATCAAGTGGGTAGGTCTGTCCTAGGTAGCATTGAGCTTAAGCATGTGATTGGGATTGCTTTCATCCAGGCAAGTGGAGAGAATTCCATCACATTCATGATTCATTAGAGATGGTGACAGGCACTGGGGAGACAGGAGGTGAGCTGCTCACCACAGAATTCCCAGTCTCCGAACTGCTCTTTTGGCCATTGTATTTATATAGCTAGTCCAGTTATCTTCTGCAGGATTCATCACTGGTAAGGCCATGGAATGTCAAGGGGTGATGTTTCAATTCTCTTTTGGAGATCATCAATGCCTGACACTTACGACATGCAAACATTAGCTCAAGCCTGAATTCCTTGTTCCATAAAGACACAGGCTGCTTCAGCATCTGAAGAGTCACGAATGGTGCTGAACATTGATGATTGCACAATGCACATCTCCACTCTGGCTTTTTACTGAAGAAAGATCATTGATTAGGCAGTTAAAGATCCTGGGGCCTAGGACATTACCCGAGGACCTCTTGCAGTGGTGTCCTCGGACTGAGATGACAGACCTCACAACTATCTCCCTTTGTGTCTCCAACTCTGCTCAAGCCCGTTGCTACCATCCTGAGCCAACTGGTGCCTTAATGTCAAGGCCAGTCATTCTCACTTCACCTCTGGAGTTTAACTCTTTAATTCATGTTTGGATCAAGGCTGTAATGAGGATCTGTAAAGCTGTGGAAGGTCCTAAACTGACCAGCAGCAAGTAGGTTATTCTTTTACTATTAACAATACTTTCATCACTTTACTGATAATCAAGTTTGTATTTATGATACAGTTATTGACTGGGTTGCACTTGACCTGTTCTTTTGTGGACAGGACATACCCGGGCAATTTTCAAGACAGATGCCGAAGTGACACTGAAAAAGCTTGGCTAAGGGCATTACTGCTTCTGAAGCATGGGATGAGGGTGTCACTGGCTAGGCCAGCAATTTATTACCCATCCCTAATTGCCCAAAGGGCAGTTAAGAGTCAACAAGTCACATGTAGACCAGACCCGGTAAGGATGGCAGTTTCCTTCCCAGAAGGACCTTAGTGAACAAGATGGGTTTTTCCAACAATTGATAATGGATTCATGGCCATTATTAGACTCTTAATTCCAGATATTTACTGAATTCAAATTCCACCATCTGAAGTGGTGGGGTTCGAACCCAGGTCCCAAGAACATGAACTTGGTCCCTGGATGAACAGTTCAGATGTTAATACCACTCGGCCACTTCCTCCCCTTGCCATCTTCAGCAGTATTGTCAGAATATTGTCAGCATCCACTGCCTTCAGCCATTTCTTCATATCACATGGAGTGAATAAAATTGGCAGAAGAATGTATTCTCTGATGCTGGGGACTGCTGGAGCAGGCCAAGATGGATCATGCATTCATCTTCAGCCAGAAGTGATAAGTGTAAAGGTTTCAGCCTGGTCTTTTACACAGATATGCTGTACTGTACCATTGTTGAGGATGGAGCCATTTCTTGAGCCTCCTATTTCTGGGAGGTCCCTCTGGATACTTCAGAGCTCAGGTCTGATTTGTTGGTTATGGGATTGCTTAGCATCTTTATACCATGCTGCATTTGCTGTGTGGCACACAAACAGCCCCGGTTGTAGCCTCACTAGGTTGACCCTTTATTTTTAGCTTTGCCTTGTGATACTTCTGGCATGCCTTTGTGCACTCTTCACTGAACCAGATTGGTCCCCTAGTTTGACGGCAGTGGTAGAGTGGAGGATATCCTGAGCATAAGGTTACAACCTGTGGGTGAATACAAATTCTGCTGCTCCTGATAGCCCACAATACCCATAAATGCCCAGTCTGGAGTTGCTCTATCTGATCTATCCCATTTAGCATGCTGGTAGCACTACACAACACAATGTAGGGTATTTTCAATGGAACGACAGGAGTTGGCCTCCACAATGACTGTGTGGTATGCCCTCCTACCTATACAGTCATGGACAGATGCATATGTGACAGATAGAGTGGCGAGGACCAGGTGAAAGAAGCTCTCCTTCACCACCTGCTGCAGACGCAGTCTAACACCTATGTCATTTAGAACTAGGCCACCTCAATCATAATTCATCAACCAGGGAGGGGAGGGAAGCAGTGGGTAACTGAACTGGTAACAGCCTGAACTGGTGCCATATCTTGGTTACTTGATTATGATACTACAGTGAGTGATGTAGCCATGCAACATAAAATTAGAAAGTGAGATATTGATAGACTAGGTAAACAAGCAGAACTGTGGTTGATGAATTTCAACAAAAGTATAAAGCCATCCATTTTGAAGTTTAAAAGAAAGGATAAAGCTTACAAAACATATTGAACAAAATATTATCAGCTTTCAATTGAGAAGAGATTACATGAACTAGGCTAACCCTCCCTGAATTATAGCAAGGTATGGGATCAGTTGAATGCAGCTTTTAGTAATTTGAAAGGAATTATTACAGTTGATAAAGAGAAACGTCATCCACTAGCTGAACAGCATAAGTCAAGAAGGCCTTAAAATCAGAGTCAGGTCACTCAAGACAAAGTTAAAACTTCTAACATTTCACACAAAAGGTGGGGGTGGGGCGAAGCAGAGGGCAGCAGAAGCATGAAACATCCCTCACAAAAAGCAGTCTGTAGATACAACTTCAATTAATTTTAAATCTGAGATCAAATGCTTTTTTTGATTAGATAAAAATATAAAAAGATTACGAACTCAACATAGTTGGAAACTGGTAGGAAAAAGGTCAACAGTGGTGTCATTCAATAGTGGAGGAGGCTCAAGGGTTGAATGGTCTGTTCTACTCTGAGGTCCACTCATGGGCCACCCTCTCAACTGGTGACTGGTATGTTGTATAGAACTCAATGTAAAACACATGAAACAAAATGCAATTAACAAAAATAATCAAAGGAAGCCTTTTACCTTCAGTCACTGGAACCTTCAGGTACTGTTCCACTAGATTCTGAACATAGAAACTTAAGGCAGATCTTTCAAGAGGCAGTTCAGCAGCACCTTCTTCAGGCCTGAAGTTTCTGTCATTACTGTGTAACCATTCACACAACTGAAATAAAAACCACAAGAACCAAGAAATTAAGTCAAATTTTGATGAATGTTCAAAATATATCCACCCATTATTCAATAAGAAATTGCTTATGCAAGTTCGAATGTACTTTTAAAAGACCCACTGCTCCCATACAGAGTTAGTGAAGAACAACAAAACAGGCTTGGTTCCTTCTTGACTGTGCAAAGGGCTGCTGGACAGTGAAAGGTGTGGATGCTAGGTGATTCAGGACTGGGCTGCATAACCCAGAATGCACTGGGTAGTGTTGCTCACCTTTCAGATGCAGGCAAGAGAAACAGTCCTGGAATGCTCTGAGCGAGTACCATTCCCCCAGTTAACCAGCAGGAGAGGTGGTGAGAGAAAAAAAAAAGCAGAAAATTGCTAGGAGAAAATGGTAATCCAAGGTCTGTGCTCCTAATTATACCATCAAATGAAAACGGATAGTTTCAAATCTCATCACATTACAGGCCCTAACACCTTTTTGCTCAAATCACTTAAATTTGTCTGTATTACGTAGCAACCTCTTTGCATCCTTTCTCCTCTATTATCAGAAAACTCAAACATTACAATCGGTCCTTTCATCCACGTCATTAATATAGATTGCAATATTTAAAACTCTGGCACTGTTACTCCAGGCACTGAGTATGCTGCCATCCAAAAAAATGACCTTCTCGTTCCTTCTCTTTATATTCTATACGTTAACCAATTCTGAATCCATGTTAATATATTGACCCGATCTGAGAAGTCCTAATCTTGAGTAACAACCTTTTGTCACCTTAGTGAGGTGCCTTCCGAAAATCCAAATATGCCACATTCTCAAATTACCCCATTTCTACCTTGCTCGTGATTCCCTCAAACAAACTGAAGATATATGTCAAACATCATTTCTCCTTTTACAAAACAGTGCTGACTTCACATAATCAGTTATTTTCTAACTGCCCTGTTACCAGTACTTTAATAGATTTGAGCATTTTCCAAACTACTGGTGTCAGGCAAAATTGTCTATGTTTCTTTGTTTGCTCTTTTCAATCTTTTAAATGTAAGGATTACACTTGCTGCTTTCCAACCCAGAGGGGACTATTCCAGAAGTCAAGACAATTCTAGAAGATCAAAAATCAGTCATTAGTTCTCAATATTTGCTAAGCAGTTTCAGGATTCCTTTTAAAGTGCAATTTACAATTGGCACCATTGTTAGAGTAAAACACAACTTGTCGCTTTCCCACAAGGACAGGCTGCACATCGAGAGTTGTGCTTGGTCCAAAGAAAAGTCCTTTTGTTTCGCTCAGTAGTATAGACATTATGCCTTCCTCATTAGAAGGTCACGGGTTCAAGTTCCTACTCCAAAGTCTTAAGCACAATTTCATGCAAGATCACTCCCCGCACTAGAGGAATTCTATACTACTGAATACGCTGCTCTTGGTGTGAAACATCAAACCAAGACCTTGCTTGGCCTCTAGCAGCAATGCGCTTTACAGAGCAATAGGAATACAGTAATTGCTTAAGTGAAAAAATACATACTCCAATTCATCCAATTCACATTCTACTATCATAGTAGTTAAATGAGAAAATAACAGTGGATTAATGACTAATTTTAATCAATTAACCCACAATTTTTATAAACATGGCATGTTTACAACAGCAAAACATGCCAAGATTCTTCACAACAGCATATTTACATGAATCACGAAAGTTGGTCAAAGAAGGGCCCAATAACAGTTGGTTAAAAACTTAAGACTTTTAGTGCCTTTTCTTAAATTTTACAACTCCAAAAGAAGCCAATAAGCCCATTATTAAACACTGGTAGTTAAACATTGTTTAGACAGAGTGCATGTATATACTTTTCTAGTCAGTTTATTCCAAATCACACATGTCTCTGAATCAACATATAACCATCACCTGCTCCCTAGTTGGTCTTAGGTATCCCTGCAGGACCCTACACCATCATGTATGTTTCATTTACACAAAGTCCCATTTTCCTACCCTCTCACAATACACCTAATTTATTCCAATTATTTATCCACTCTCCTTAAAAAAAATTCACTTTGCACTATTGTTTCTCAAAGGTGTTTCATACCTTTAACAACAGGTTGTTAATAAAGAAATGCAGTCAATGGAGCGTAATTGTGGACACAGGGATGGTTTGAGGTGTGTATACTCCAATGCTAGAAGTATCAGAAATAAGGCGGATGAACTTAGAGCATGGGGCAGTACTTGGAACTACGACATTGTGGCCATTACAGAAACGTGGGTAACTCGGGGACAGGAATGGCTGTTGGAAGTTCCGGGATTTAGATGCTTTAAAAGAAATAGGGAGGGTGGAAAAAGAGAGGTGGGGGAGTGGCATTGCGAGGCAGGGCGAGTATAGCAGCTACTGAAAGGCAGTTCGAGAATGATATGTCTACAGAGTCAGTTTGGGTTGAGGTCAGGAACAAGAAAGGAGCAGTCACTTTGTTGGGGTTTTTTTTTATAAACAGACCCCTCTAATAGTTTCAGAGAAGTGGAGGAGCAGATTGGGAGGCAGATACTGGAAAGGTGCAGAAGTCACAGGGTTGTAGTCATGGGTGACTTCAACTTTCCAAATATTGATTGGAAACATTTTAGTTGTAGTAGTTTAGATGGAGCAGATTTTGTCCAGTGCGTTCAGGAAGGATTCCTGACACAGTATATAGATAGACCAACACGAGGAGAGGACACTTTGGATTTGGTGCTTGGCAACGAACCAGACCAAGTGTTAGATCTGTTGGTAGGAGAGCATTTTGGCGGTAGCGATCATAACTCTGTTACTTTTACAATAGTCATGGAAGAGGATAGGTACATACAGCAGGGTAAGGTTTATAATTGGGGGAAGGGTAATTACGATTCTGTTAGGCAAGAACTGGGTAATATAAAATGGGAACAGATGCTGTCAGGGAACAGCACTATTGAAGTGTGGAGATTGTTCAAGGAACGCATACTGCATGTGCTTGATATGTTTGTCCCGAGCAGGCTGGGAAGATGCGGTTGAGTGAGGGAGCCTTGGTTCTCAAGAGAGGTCGAATGACTGTGTAAGAGGAAGAAGGATGCTTATATAAGGTTTAGAAACAAGGAACGGAAAAGGCTCTACTGGGATACAAGTTAGCCAGGAAGGAGCTGAAGAAAGGGCTTAGGAGAGCTATAAGGGGGCATTAGAAAACCTTGGCAGATAGGATCAAGGAAAACTCCAAGGCTTTTTACATGTACGTGAGGAAAAAGAATGACCAGAGAAAGGGTAGGGCCGATCAAGGATTGTAAAGGGAACTTGTGCACGGAGCCTAAAGAGATAGGAGAGGTCCTTAATGAATACTTTTCTTCGGTGTACACAACTGAGGGGGACCTAGTTGTAGAGGAGGACAGTGTGAAACACGCTGGTAGGCGAGAGGAGGTTGATGTTAGTTAGGAAGATGTACTAGGAATTCTGAGGAACTTGAAGATAGATAAGTCCCCTGGACCCGATGGGATTTATCCAAGGATTCTACGGAAAGCGAGGGAAGAGATCGCAGGGCCTTTGGTGATTATCTTTTCGTCCTCAATGTCCATGGGTATAGTGCCGTAAGATTGGAGAGAGGCAAATGTCACTCCCTTGTTCAAAAAAGGGAACAGGGATAACCCCGGAAATTACAGGCCAGTTAGTCTTACTTCAGTGGTGGGCAAATTATTGGAAAGGGCTTGGAGAGATTGGATTTATGATCACTTGGATAAGCACAGTTTGATTTGTGATAATCAGCATGGATTTGTGAGGGGTGGATCATGCCTCACCAACATTACTGAATTCTTTGAAGAGGTGACCAAACACGTGGATGAAGGTAGAGCAGTGGATGTGGTATACATGAATTTAAGTAAGGCATTTGATAAGGTTCCCCATGGTAGGCTCATGCAGAAAGTAAGGAGGCATGGGATATGGGGAAATGTGGCAGATTGGATTCAGAATTGGCTGACCCTTAGATGACAAAGGGTGGTAGTGGACGGAAAATGGTGCACAAGGATTTGTTCTGGGTCCTCTTCTATTTGAGATTTTTGTAAATGATTTGGATGAAGGAGTGGAAGGGTGGATTAGCAAGTTCGCAGACAATACGAAGGTGGGTCAAGTTGTGGATAGTGCGGAGGGCTGTTCTAGGTCACAAAGGGACATTGACGGATGCAGAGCTGGGCTGAGAAGTGGCAGATGGAGTTTAACCCTGAAAAGTGAGAGGTGATTCATTCTGGAAGGATAAACTTGAAAGCAGAATACAGGTTTAACGGAAAGATTCTCGGCAGCGTGGAGGAGCAGAGGGATCTTGGGGTTCATGTCCACAATTCCCCGAAAGCTGCCACCCAGGTGGATAGAGTTATTAAGAAGGCGTATGGTGTGTTAGCTTTCATTAATAGAGGGATTGAGTTCAAGAGCCGTGAAGTTATGCTCCAGCTATACAAAACCCTGGTTCGGCCACATCTGGAGTATTGTGTCCAGTTCTGGTCGCCTCATTACAGGAAAGATGTGGAAGTGTTGGAAAAGGTGCAGAGGAGATTTACCAGGATGTTGCCTGGAATGGAGGGAAGATCTTATGAGGAAAGGTTGTGAGAGCTAGGGCTTTTCTCTTTAGAACGACGAAGGATGAGAGATGACTTGATCGAGGTGTACAAAATGATCAGAGGTATAAATAGTGTGGAGAGCCAGAGACTTTTTCCTAGGGTGGAGGTAGCTATTACGAGGGGGCATAGTTTTAAAGTGAGTGGAGGTAGATATAGGACAGACATCAGAGGTAGGTTCTTTACTCAGAGTGGTTGGGGCGTGGAATGCATTGCCGGAGAGGGTAGAGGAGTCGGCCTCGTTAGGGGCATTTAAGCAGCTATTAGATAGGCATAGGGATGATAGTATAAAGGTAGGGGTGGAAGTTAGATAGACCTTAGGTTTCAGGTAAAAGTTCGGCACAACATCGTGGGCCGGAGGGCCTGTACTGTGCTGTACTGTTCTATGTTCTAACAGCTTGCCCTTTTTGTCTTCA